AAAAGCAAGAAAATATTTCTTGATGGCAAGAGCTCCTTCCCAGAGGTATAAATTAATATTTTTTTCATTCTGGATATGATTTGGTTCATTGCAGCAGAGGACGTGGAACCCTACAAAAAGACAGACATACGACGTTGGCTAGAAACCCCCACATTTGTGGCAGTGAAGAAGAAAAGTCTTTGGTTTATAAAACATGCCAGCTAGAGGACTGTGCTGACTTCCCTGTCATCTACAGGAAACTCCTGGATAGAGCTGATTCAGGGAAATCTAACTCATTCAATAATGAGCAATAAAAATACATTAACACAACATCGATAAAAAGATAAACAGGAGAAACAAGTAGCAATAGAAATAGAATCTATCCAAAATCTGTTGCTGTAGATACATAAAAATTGTGACTAACACTTTGTCATGAAATTTTTCAGAAAAGTGAAATAATTGCCTATATGAAAAACAAAAAAAAAACTCCAAAGCAAACACGTGAGATATCAGGGAAAATAGGGAGGTGAAGGAAGGTGAAGGACGGAGGTGAAATAGGAGCTGGCAGGAAAGAAGTCAAATAAAAAACAAAATGATAACAGAAAAGAAGGCAAAATTGTAAAGAGTGGAAAGAATGGACATCACTCAAAATTATAGTAAGGAACATAGAAAATAGAGAAAAGCTAACAAAATAAATGGAAACAAAATGAGAGTTTAAAAGGAATAAAGAGAAAAATAATAGTTATAGAAGACAGAAAAGGGCAATCCAAAATTCACAGAATTGGAATATCCGAAGAAAAAACTTGAACAATGAAAGTGAAACACTGAAAACAGACGTGGAATAATGTGACTGTGTCTGTCCATTTTGCATTGCTATAAAGGAAATGCACAAGGCTGGGCAATGTATGAGAAAAGAGGCTTATTTGGTTGACAGTTCTGCAGCAATGCAAGCACATCACCAGTGTCTGCTTCTGGTGAGGGCTTCAGGGGGCTTCCAATCAAAGCGCACAGCTGGCTCATCACATGGCAAGAGAAGGAGCCAGAGGAGACGGCGCCAGGCTCTTTGAAACAGCCAGCTCTCTCAGGAACTCACTCGTAATCTCTGGGAAGGCACCAAGCCATTCATGAGGGATCCGCACCCATGACCAAAACACCTCCCACCAGGTCCCAATTCCAACGCTGAGGATCAAATTTCAACATGAGGGAGGGGCCAAATATCCGAACCATACCAATGACAGAACCAAGATTGCTACACCAATCAAACAAATGAGCTTAACTAGCCTGCTTAACAACAACAATAAAGTTCCAGCTTCACTTATTAATGAAAAAGAATACCTGACTCAGGACAAGAGCCAGCCCTAAAACAAATGACTCAGAAAGGTTGAAAAAATAAAAAATAAATAAATAAATAAAGGTTGAAAATAAACGAATGGGCACAAATACATTGGCAAATAAAAACAATAAAAGAAAGCAGGGGTTGAGGTCTTAACATTAGCAGGCCAAAACGCATGAAATGAGTTAAAAAAGGGATTTTAAAATGCCAACGTATGCAATAATGCGTAATAAAGATACTGTACTGATGACATCTGTGCACTGAATAACATAGTCTCAATATTCATGAAGCAGAAATAACAAAAAATAAAGGAGAAAAAGATGGAAACACACTAAATAAGAGACAAAGTCCAATTTCTCATTTGGACAAAAGAAGAACAGCAAAATAAAGCTAGCGTTTAGGCCGGGCACTGTGGCTCACGCCTGTAATCCTAGCTCTTGGGAGGCCGAGGCGGGCGGATTGCTCAAGGTCAGAAGTTCAAAACCAGCCTGAGCAAGAGCGAGACCCCGAGACCCCGTCTCTACTATAAATAGAAAGAAATTAATTGGCCAACTGATATATATATATAAAAATTAGCCGGGCATGGTGGCGCATGCCTGTAGTCCCAGCTACCCGGGAGGCTGAGGCAGAAGGATCACTCGAGCCCAGGAGTTTGAGGTTGCTGTGAGCTAGGACGCCACGGCACTCACTCTAGCCTGGGCAACAAAGCGAGACTCTGTCTCAAAAAAAAAAAAAAAAAAAAAAGCTAGCGTTTAAAATTAAAACACAAAACAAAACAAAACCTTCCAGTGGAAATTTAAAAACATTTCTCTTTAACAACTCTTGGGTCAATGAGGAAATGAAAACTGAAGTTAGAAAACATTGATAATTAAAGCATTACTTACCAGAATCTAAGAGTTACAGCAAAGCAGTGCTCAGAAGAGACTTTATGGCCGTAAATACATAAATCAATCATAAAGAAAGAATGAAAGTGAATTAGGGCGTCGTATCTGTTAGCCCCACTGTTAAATACACTCTCAGCTTTCTGTCCAAGTAGAATGATGGGAAGCCTGTATATGCATTGAAGTGAAAGACAATTTTGCTGTCCCATAGATATACTGTCTAAGTGCATAGGGGCATGTCTCTCATTTTGAAATATTGGATAGTCTCTCTTCCGCCACTTTTTGGAGACACAGACTTAGGATTATAGAAAGAATTAGCTAAACAACTCTCTCCTCCTTTCTCCTGCAGATGAACCTAAGATGGAGAGGTGAAGGGATGTATGAGTCAGAAAAGAGATGGCACACTCAAATGGGATGATGGCTGAAAGTTTATTTATATTCACACAGGTGTAGGTGAGGGCAGTGATTTTCAACCTTGGTTGACTTTAGAATTACCCGGAGAGCTTTTAGAAACTACCAATGACCCTGGTCTTTCCTGTGGTAGCACTTTATAGCAATTTGTGATTATTTGATCAATACCTATCTTTCTTAGGACTATATGTTTTGTGGGAAAGGGCACCTCATCTTCATCCATTTGGACTCTCACTTTCAGGTCTAGTTCAGCACCTGCCCAATCACTCTAGAAATTTGAATTTAATCGGTCTTTGGTGAAGGCCAGAAATGGGGATTTTAAGAATTCTCCAGAGGTTCTACTGAGCAGCAGGGTTGGGGACCACTGGTACAGGGGATCCTCCTGCAGCCCGGAGAGAGCATGTGTTACCTGGGGCTAGGAGCAGCCTGGCTGTCGCCATCCTAAAGCCCAAAGGGATCAGGAGAGGGAGTGGTTAGGGGAATCTGGAAGTATAGACCAGGCCACCTTGAGAGGAACAATAACTTTTGATCAAGAACAAAACCAGTATGAAGTAAACGGACAGGGAAGGAACCTGACCTTATTCCCCTCCCTCCTTCCAGGAATCCGTTCCCCATTAGCTGAAGCCAATTGGAAGTTCACTGGGACAGAAGCATTGATGTTGTTGTCTACACCATCAATTTTGGTGGAATTATATATGGCACTACTTTCAGATTGGCCGGGAAGGAAGTCCTGGCTCTACCCTTTATTGGCCATGCAACCTTGAACAAATCATTGGGGCATTTTTCTCATCTGAAAATGGGGGTAATAATTCCTTCAGAGGGTTGTTATGAGGGTAGGATGAGATAAGATATGCAAGAGGATCAGTGAATATCAGCTAATAATGAATCACCCTGGATTTGGGCCAAAGAAGAATAACTTTGAGGGCAAATGTTACCTGAAAGAATTCTTCCTTCCCTCATTAGAATTAATTTCCTTTTGGGCAGTGGTTCTCAAGCTATTTGGAAAGGCAGTGGGCTTAGTGGTCACAGACTCACAGTCTAAAGTCAGCATTAGGATCTGCGTTTTGCCATCGACTAGCTATGCAACCTGGAGGATATAACTCAACTTCAGTTTCAGCAACTATAAAGTGGGGATCAGAGTAGAACCTCCCCCACAAAGTGATATGAGTATTAACTAATCATAACGCATGCACGGGGTTTGCCATGCCACCAGGCATTTCATAAGCACACAATAGATTGTAAACACTAGTACTACATTCTGGAGAACAATGGAGTCTGATGAACTAGACCTAGATTTTGTGCTCCAAAAACAATAAATATAAATAATAAATAAAGGATTCACAAACAGAATGTTTTCGATTTTGTTTTCCCCTGTAATACATTTTTTAAATCTTTACAATGACTGTAGTTTGTCTTCAAATATGTACGGAAAGAAAGAACGTTGCTTATTCCAATGGCTTTTTTCCCCCTAGACTGCTGTACTTGAAGAGTGTTTTCTGGGTGCACTGTGTGGGGAGTTTTAACTCTCTTGAGCAAGGCATCATGCTGAATATTTTACAAGGGTTTCTCACAATGACCTTATGAGGCCAATATTTCAGTTCTGTGTTTAAGATCTTTAAGGTTGTAGAAATATCATCCATCTTTTAACAGATTGTTCCAAGTTAATATGACAGAATTAAATCTGAATATTTTGTTGTGTTCTATAATTTCCCTACCTTTCATACGGCCGTTCATCAATTGGTGAACACATTCTGAATTACTGTTTGATTATTTCCCAGGCCATACTATTAAATCACCCATCATGATGACAGGGCCTGAGTTTTGCTTTTATACTTTTTTACTTAGTAATGGGCTACACACACACACACACACACACACACACACACAGAGGCACACACGGGTGCACACTTCCTAAACTTACTATTAAATGACCAGAAAGTTTTCAGAGTACACAAGTAAGTATACTGTTCTTCCCACTCATCCTAGCTTGCTTTTAGCACAGTTAAATTTGGCCTGCTATTTGCTTTGCATAATGCTCAACACGTCCTTGTTGAACAAAAGGAATTTATTAATCTATGGAATTCTCCAACATCTGTGCAATTGTCCAACAGTGAAGTGTGTCCTGTTTTCTCTCCCTTCCTTAGGGTTCTCCTAACAAACTAGTTTCGAGTCACTGACCTATGTTTCCACCTTCTGACCATTTCCTCTTCCAGCTCACTGATAAATATTTTTCCATGGGAGGCCAGCGGGTCTCTTTGCCAACGCTGGGCAGGCCCAACCATTACGACTTAGGAAAGGGTCTAGTCTCCTTTGTTTATGAGCTGTCTGAGCTTACCAGGGAGGTCATGACTTTAAAAATATTTTCCCTACTCTGGTTGGTGGGTAGAATCCAGTCTTTGGCACGGGGGCCTGCAGGGGTCTTGGAAGCAGAGTTTGCCTGTGGTAAAGGGGCCCCAGCTGCTGCTCAGTATTCCTGGGCTGGTGAATGTATTCTGATGGGGCCACTGTCGTGTGGGGAAGGGAAGGAGCCCTCTTGATTTGGGGAGGAATGCAGAGGAGTGCTGGCACCACCCTGATGCAGGTTACAACTATATTTGCCCCTGGTGAGCCATTTGTAATTAACGTGTGCTTTGTGGTTTTAATCTTTCTTTAATCTGTAAAGCTATAAAAATTTACAGCGCAATTCTAGAATTGAGAAAAAAAGCTAAATTGCAATGCTCAGTCCTTAAAGTTAACCTAGTCCACAAGATCAAACCTGCAAGGAGAGTGCTGGCGGAGGCACTCCCCGTGCCATCCTGCTGTCTTTTCTCAATGATCTTGTTTTGTCCCTTTCCCAGAACTCACTGGAAACAGGAGAACCGTGTCCCTGCCCGGCTCTGTCACGCATGCACACACAGTGCCCAAAAGAAAACAAACAATACAGTGCGTGGTATATAAAACGAAGAGAGGAAAAGAACATCTTAGGTAAATACCAGACTACTTATTTTATGATTTTTAAATGTCATTTTTGCTCCAATATTGACTTTTTTATGGAGGCTGAATTATAGATCCTGCAGCACTGGGAGAGACCAGGGTTTCCTTTCTTCGACTCAGCTGGTCAAGTTAAGAATTGAAGTCATGGTAATTAGTTGTGAGTTTCTTAGCGAGGAAGACCAGACTGCTGAGAAACCTCTGTGAGGTGACCCCTCGGGGAAGACAATACACCCGGGAAAGAGCCAGAATGGGCAACAAAGAAGCACAAAACAACATCCCAATCTTGTTGCTACAAACAGATGTTGCCGCGGGCAGTCTCTTGCAAGAAGGAAATACAATGCAATCCCTCATTTGTCTGCCTGGGCTTCTCTCTCCAAGAATTGGTTTCCAGGCAAATTATTTCAGGGTTGCACAGGCTGGGGAAAGGCAGCGGAATTGGAAGCTATCGTCCTTGGTGACCTCGGGTCTCAGAAATGATGCTGTGAGAAGTGAAAGGGCTTGAGCAGGAGTCAGGGAGGGACCCAGAGCCAGAAACCAAGTCGCAAGGAAGGAGGGGGCGGCCAGACTTCCAAGAAGAGGTTTTGAACATCTAGCTAGAGGCCAGAGGGAGCCGGCCTGAGCTGAGATTCCTGGAAGGAGGTCATGGAAGGCTAAGGGGGAAAGAAGAGAAAACTGAGTTAGTATCAACTCTGCCCTTGCCCTTGGTTTTGATTGTTCACTCAGTGTCTACATAGACAGACAGATTCAGGATAAAGAAATGTAGATCGAATTAGGTAAATTCAATTTACATAGACAAAAAGAAGTTAATTCAGACCAAAGGGGTTAAGGATTCCATAGGGGAAAACCCTTTTCTTTTGTTTGGAAAAGGTTTTGCTTTTTTAAGCAGAGCTATGTGAATTCACTTGCCCTGTTTTCTAACTTGTTTGTGTAGGCAAGTGAGTCTACTGTACTTGCATGGTATGTTTAGCCCCAAACTATCGTATTCTATTATAAGTTAAAGGCAAATACTACTACAAACTTACAATTACTTAAATCTTGATTTTGCTGTTCTCTATCTATTTTTCTTCATCCAACTGCTCGATAAGCCATTTAGGGGTGAGCAATGCTACTGAGAGTAGTTAAATTTATTGAAGATCTATTGTGTGCCTGGCACCACACTTATAACAATAATATTAGCCAATGCTCATATAGCACATATGCTTATATAGCACATATGAGTCTGTATATGCTAGGTGGCAGGTGTATTTTAAGATGTTTACATGTGTTATAACACTGAGCTCCATGACAACCCTATAAGTACTATTATTATCACCTTCTCTTTATAGATGTGAAAACCATGGCCCAATGATGCTAAATGACTTGCCCCAAAGTTATGTAGCTAGTGATTGACAGAACCAACAGTTGGATCAGATTCTGAGTCTGAGCTTCTAGCCATGACACTAATGTCATTTCATGCTAATTCCATGCCCTTTGAAGTAGGTAGGTAGTATTGTCATCATTCCCATTTTAAAGATAAGGAGATTGATATACTCAGAGATTATATAATTTAACCAACATCGCCTAGACAGTGAGAGAACCAGAATTCAAAAACAAGCCTTGTAAAATCCCACCTTTACTAGAGGAAGAGGTATAGCTGGAATGCTTTAGACCTGTGCTTTTCAAACTTTAATGTGCACACCAATTGCCTGGGGAGGCTGTTCAATGTGGGTTCTGAGTCTGTAGGGCTAGAGTGGGACCCAAGAGTCTGCATTTCCAACAAGTTCCCAGTTGATAGTGATGTTGCTAGACTATAGACCACACTTCACAAAGTAAGGCTTTAAGGGTTGGGGGCCACAAACCAGAAGGAGTTTCTGGACTGTTACCCACTCCTCTCACCAGAATCTATGGAGAAGGTGTCTTTGAGAGTAGTGATCAGCCTGGAGGTGGCAAATTTAACTTAAGATTCTTAATTTAAAGTAATTTCATTATTTTCTTTCCTGAAACAACATATAGAGCCATTAAGATTCAGGGAGTTTCTTTCACAAGTATAACCGCTTATATTCTTTTAAATTTACTGAAATCCATGTCATTATCAAATTTATCCTAAATGTCATTACTTTCTTCATAAAATATCTCTTTATATTTCTTTTATATACATATATTCTTCTTGATTTGCATTTATGTTCTTTCATTCCGACCTGCCTAATGAACTCAAATTTATCATCAACCAAAAATTTATAAGACATATCTACTTTAATCCTTCATTCATATTACTCCTTTATCACCTACTTTTCGAACTCAACACAGATTCCCATTTTGCCCATTTCTCTTCAATCAGAAGATCCTCCAATTTAATTCATTATCTTGAATTTCCTGCAGTATTTTTCCCCTCCAACTTAGCTCTGTCTTTCTTTTCTTTTCGTTTCTTTTCCCTTTAAACACCATAACTAGATTTTGAACCTCAAATCTATATGTCAACTGTGGCCTACCCAACCTCCTAGAAGGCCATAGTACAATATCTTGGAATTTGTGATTTATGCCAAGGCCTCTCGTCAGCCTCACTTCTCCTGCCAACTGAGCTGAAAATTGAAATGCTGGCTCTGTCTGTAGAGTTCTTCTGTTGTGTTAACTAATGCATTGCTAACCTTAGCTTGAGTGTTTTGCTTACCCAAGAGCACCTCATATGGAAGAGTTGAAATTTCACATACAATCCCTTTATTCTTTTCCCGCATTGATCAAACTTATCCAGGGCAGCAATTATCTGCTTCTGGATACTAATTTTCTCCCCTATTTCATGGCATCCTCAAACAAAGCCCACAGGCACAATGCAATCCTTCATTAACTGAAAACATGCAAGTCCTTCCAATGGAAAATGCAACGCAAAAGCCAAATGAGGTAAATTGCATTACTTGACCCGCCCTGGGACAGTTTAAAAAGTGTTACACATTCATATGCTGCCAAGTCTCAAGATGATGGGAAGATTCTCATCAGATCCCTAAGTGGTTATTGAAGGAAGGAGACCACCCCTGCTACACACAGATGCAGTCTTGCCAATAATCACCAATGGATTTATGATGAGAAATACTCAAAAACATTGTTCAATGGGGGAAAAATGACAGGACATGTCAATCAGGAGCACTGTGACTAGGCACCCCCTCAACTAATATCTAATTAACACATTAAACTAATACATTCATGATCTTTGTTTCCGGCCACCTTTGTTTTCATTTCCTTTTATCATGACACCTAGTATATATGGAACTACACTTGAAAACTCTTGTTGTATTGCGTGCTTTACTATCCTCTGTCATCTAAAAGTGCAGTCTCACTGTCATTTATTTCTCTAGCCCTAATATGTTTGAATTCTAGTTATTCTAGAAAGTTTGTTTCAGTTATGGCCACCGAGGTGGGGCAGCAGTCCCTGAAGACAATTGCAGACAAAAGCCACAGGTTTTGTTTTTTTTTTTAATCCATCCAAGGTTTTGAGTCACTCTGTGCCTGTCCACTGACTCCTGCCTCCCATAGCTGTAATGTCGTCAATTCCTGACTTGGCTTTTCCCCTGGACTTTGGAATTCAGACTGCCTTTGGGACAGTTTTGCCCCTTATTGGGAACTCCCATAACTAATTGCTTGGCTTACCGCCCAAGTGGCTGACTTTCCTGGATTGCAGAGCACACACAATCGGGTAGCCCTCATCACTAAATGTTCACGTCCCTGGATAAGTACATTCTCCTTGTACACATCCAGGCTCAGTGATCACATAGGGTGCAACAATACCATTATTTTAAAAATGGAAAGCACCCCCAAACCGTCAAGATTGGGTTGACTTGTATGAATTTACCTTCATTTAGAAAATGTCTATTAAGTGGTCTGGCCATGCTAAGATTAATCTTGTTTGGGTGGCTGCAGGAGTCTTCTGAATGACTGCCAGCATTGCCCTTCAACCCTCTGGGTAAGTGATTCACACCACTGTTCAGCACTTCTGCATATTCAAATCTCGGGAGGGATTCCCAATGCCCAGACCTACAGACACATGAAACGCCTCCATGGGGTCAGGGAAGAGTGGCCGAGGTTAATGTGCTCTGGTTCCTGCTCTCTTTTCACATGTCTCTTCTCTATTGTGCTGCAAGCATCATGTCTGCAGGAACACACTGTGACCAGAATACACAATACAGATCCCATGGAATGTGACTGACAACGTTATTCAGCCAGTGGTCCGAAAGAATGCTAGCCAAGATCTCTTGAGCCCAGGGAAGTCAGGAGATGGTTGGAGGCAATTATCACAGTCAGAGTGTTCCTCCCTCCTACAGACGATGGTAAAAATGGTATTTATGAAACATCATAGCTGGTGCTTCGACTTGAGAAATCCACTTTATAGAGGTCTCAAAGGGGTTGTGAACTGTTCTCCAAAGAGCCTTGTGGCCCCTCTTGCCAGACCTGTTAAGTCCTCCCTGTGCCCGAGTTTAGCAGTGCCAAAAGAGTGCTGCATCCCTCTTCCCAACTCTTGGCTGGCTCTTTTCTCTATAGAGGGTCTTCCAAGAGCCGGGGCAGCTTGCAGGGCGATGTTTTCTTCACCAAGATGGGTGATGACAGTTAAACCCACACAGGGGCATCCAGGCAACACTCCTCACTGGGGAGACATATATGCAAACACATTAACGTATATATTTAATTGGGTTATAATCTATTGACCATAGTACTAAGGCACTGAGCAAGCAATTAACAAAACAGATTTGACTAAATATAGTTAGCACTAAATATAGTTGGTTAATTGGTATTTAATATGCTTATTAAATGTCAATTAAGTATCTTTAGCAATGAATTGGTACCTAATTAACTTACTATAGCTATCCTGTTACTTGACATTTGAACAGCTAAATATTCTCTACAAGTTTAATGTTTTAATAAGAAACAAATTATCCATGTATTGCTCATGAATTTTTCAGTTAGTTTAATGGGATTTAAATGTATCTCCCAACTTGGATTCATGTTTTTCTTATAATCAACTGGTATTTTACATTTCAGATCTCTTTTAAGCTTGGAAAGCTGATTACATGGGAGGAAAAAGCTATAGAAGTAACTAAGAAGTGTTCTATTGTTGGTTCTACCACTGGACACCTTGAGTTATCTTAGTCATGCTATTTCACTGCCGGAGAGCCTCAATTTCCTCATCTGCCTTATGACATTAAAATTTGCAATTGTTGTAAAAATAAAATTATATAAAACACATGAATTCACTTAAATAAACAAAATAACTTCTTAAAAATAATGATTGATAATTCTTACAAAGGTTTAATGTGTAATCATTATATGTACAAAACCTTAAGATAATTTATTGTTGAAATGGAAAGCTAATAGCGTCATTTTTCCAAATTTTCCCTAAATAACATAAACTTGGTTTTATTAAATCCCTGGAGATACATCCTAGTTGGCAGGTGCCTGGGCTGCTCTTCCAAATACACATGGCTTCCTCTTTATCTGCTCTTACTCATATTCATTTTATTAGTTTCAGCATGTAGCAAACTGCTGGTCTTTTATCCAGAAATTGTTGGTCTGTGACTATGGCTCCATCTCAGTGTATGTTGTATTTAACAATTTTTATTTACTTAGTTTATGGTCTTAACTGACCTCTGTGTTAATTCCTCTATTTACTTGCACTTGAAAGCTAGTTGTGGATTTATCATCTTAGCAGATTTCTCAGGGTTGTTTGGTAGCATGCAGCAATGAAAGCATTGCATCTCCATTTATGTTCACTTGTTTACATCTTCTGCACTTCATAACAAGGGTTCTTTTATTAAACACTTGCAATAATTTTAGTGCCAATTACCCTATCTCGGCTCACTACACCAGAGCTTTCACACTCATCAAACGTTTACTTTACTTAAGCTATAAAGATGATAAATTAAGTAGAAAAGAGGTGCTCCGAATTTGTTGTTGGGTCTTTTATAAATGATTCCATGGCTTGCATTTATTCTATTTTTCAAAGTTTTTATGGTTTCAAACTATGGCCATTATTACTGACTAATTTATAGAGGTTGCAGTCAGCCTTGTCGTAGCAGCTTAACCCAGTTTTGTTTCCAGGGGCAATATACATTGTTGAAGTTAATTGTTCCCTAACCACTTTTTCCATATGGCAGAGTGAGTCTCTCTGTAATAGCTTTGGAATGATTTATCCAACATTTGTCATTATCCCTTGGATATTGCTTAGGAAGTCTCACGGATCTTTGTTGGGCCATAGCTTATTACCAAGTGAATACGTTGAAACCGCTACCTCCAACCCACCAATTGCCTTAATTTTATTACCTGCATTGAGATTAGTTTGTAATATTTTCTCCACAAGTGAACTAAATGTTATTATCCTTATTACCATTGTTGATGTTATTGTTATACAGGTGCAAAAATATTCCTATTTCTGCTATTTCTGAATCTTCCCCTGTGGACCTACAGCTAGTGATTAGTGCCACATTAGTCATTCATTGACATATATGGAGTTCCCAACTCATGCTGGAAACTCCTGTAGGCTTTCAGTAAAGGTAGAAGAGACAGAGGACTGTGTGCTGCCTCAACAGGCTTAGACAGTATGGTATAGTGTCTAAATCCAGGGTTAACGCAGAGAGATATAATTTCTCATCTCCGCTTCACTAAAGGGAACCTGGAAAATTGACTCTTAGCTGCAATTTCTGTTTCTGTAAATAGGAGAGGGAAAAATTAGTAATTACTAAGTAGGACTGGTAAGGATCAGAGGGAGATGGTGTGTTTAAAATATCAAGTACATCAAGCATGACACTTGCAAATGACAAGGTCTCAAAAAAGGGCCAATTATTATTGAACTCAAATGCTTTCTTAAAATATTTCAATATTAAGTATGATTTAAGCAAGTAGAAGAACAAGACATTTCTTAAAGTATCCTATGGCTTTGTTAACATAAAAGAAAAAGATAATAAATGATATCAAGGCTGGGTACTGAGTGCATGGACTATAAAAACATTAGCCACCAGAGCACCCGGCTACTTTTCTAGCACTTCTTTAGTCAACTGCAGAAGAGTAAAAAGAAAAAAAAAATGATTGATTTCCCTCTCTCTCTGTATCATGAACTGTCTTGGCTGCATTGTTTGAAACACATTGAAGAAGGGTTGATATTTGCAGAACACGCCATGTTTTGAAAATGTTGATATATGTATTCCAACTTGAGTATACCAGGCCACTAGAACAAAGACATTCCAATTTCCACGTCAAGATGATAACTGGATTATTTAGGTGTCAAAAGCACAAAATGTGTATTACACCTTTTCCTTCTGTGGTATAATGAGATCTCGTATGGGAGATGTGTCCACAATAGTCCTGCACAAGTCAAACAAATAAGCGTGATCCACACCAGGGCAAGGGAGGAGGACAAGCACTTATGCATCAGACACTTGCATTCAAAGAGAGCCAGAGTCTCCAAAGCTGACTGCTAAGATGGAGCCTTTAAAATGTACTTAATTGGCATGTGTCAGTTCATTCACTGGGGGTTTTACATTAAAAAGAGAATTACATTATGAAACAGGCCATCAAGTAGAATCCACATCACTCGATCACTTTTCACTCTGAGTTTACAGCAGAAATAGACACACACTGAGACACACACATGTGCACACACACACTCACCCCATCCTGGGAGTAATCTTAAAGCAATTTAATCACTGAGTGTTGAGCATCTACTGTGGCCAGGCAGGCACTGTGCTAGGCTCTGGGGAGTCAAAGATGAAGACAAAGAGTTTGTGATCTAGCAATGGAGACATAATCCTTCCTGCAGTGTGATACAAGCTGCACCAAACAAAAGTCTTTGGGGGCACAGGGGAGGAAGCAAGAAATTCTACCAGGCAACTTGGGGAAGGGGGACAGAGGAAGAAGGGAGCATACTGTTAAAGAATGCATTCGATTCAGCTCTTAAAAAACTTAATGCTATTTATATTTTATCATAAATCAAATTTCAAAACCAATACTTGTGGAATTGAACCCTTTGGTATGTTCTGCTAAATGTGCCAGCATATTTGCCCATATTGCCATCGAAAGTAACTGTAAGTTATAGTAAAGTTGGAAATAAGATAGAAAGGAATTAGAAGTCATTGTGGTGAAATTCTACTTCTCTCTTCAAATGGGTTCATTGTTAAATCAAAATGAATGGTTATTTTGGCATTAATTGAAGAAAGATATTTGCAACCAAGAGTTACCTGGTATCACATGCTTGTTATAGTATTAACTAATTTCTTATAACTACTCAGAAAATTTAATTCTCATTGACATGTATTGACAATATCTGGCCCTAAATCCTTTTCCCCTCAAAATGATCACAATTATTGATGCTATTATTTAAAGAGTGTGTTCACATAGGTTATCTGATATGATCCTCTTGACTCCCTGAAGCTTATCAAGTACCTGCACTACTGCAATAGTATGCCCACTCAACCATACGGTTCCAAATATTTCCCACCCCATCGGTTTTACCATGCTGCCCCCAAAGTATGCTTTCCAAAAGACAGATGCATTCACACCACTCTCTTGTTTAAAAACCTTCTGTGACCCCCTAATGTCTGGCAGAATAAAACCTAAATAGCTAGATACCCTGGCATTCAAGACCATTCATGGATTGACAACAACCTACCTTTGCTGTCTCAAGTTCTGGCAGTCTCAGCAATGCACTCCTGTCACCCCTAACTACTTACTGTCCTTTGAGTCCCTTACTGCTCTTGCTCCTCCAGGTACCCATGCCTGTTGACATGCTTCTTTATACCAAAGCCCTCTTGTCTCATATTCTGCCATGTGAAGTTACGCTTTAAGACCCAGCTTAATTGTTACCAGCGTGAAGTTCTTCCTGACTCTCGCTCTCAAAAGTTAATTGGATGCAACCTTAGCACGTGCACATATTTCTATGGAATCACCTACATATATTTCTGTTGAAGCAGGTATTCATTTATTATGTAGCAGTTATGCACTTAAGAACATAACTTTCTCTTCTTAATTAGAATCACCATAAATATCTCAAGAACATAGACAATGTCATTCATTTTAATAAACTCGGAAACTATCAGAGAACTTCTTTTATAAATATACAATATATAGTCAGGGGTCATTATTCTCATGTCACGAAAGAAGGGTCTGGTGCTCAGAGAAGTGAGCAAACTTGGCTGAGGTTAATGTGAGTCCGGAGCTGAAGAGCTAATGCCAGAACCCTTGGCAATGCCTCTTAGTGTCAACCACTTACCATAATGGCTACAGATTTCAGATGTTCTGGGAGTCATCATTTACGAATGGATTCATTTTTTTCACTTAACACACAATTATAGGCACTTCATTAGTTTCCTAAAGCTGCCATAACAAAGTACCACAGCCCGGGTGGCTTAATCAAAAGATAATTTATTTCCTCACAGCTCTGGAGGCTGGAAGTCCAAGATCAAGGTGTCAGCAGGGTTGGTGTTTCCGGAGTCCTCTCTCCTTGCCTTGGAGATGGACACCTTCTCCCTGGGTCTTTGTCCTCCCTCTGTGTGTGTGCGTCTGTGTCCTACTCTCCTCTTCTTATAAGAACCCTGGTTATATTAGATTAGGGTTTTCCCCTAATGACCTCATTTTAACTTTATTATCTCTTTAAAGGCCTCTACCTTCAAATACAGTCCTGTTCCAAGGTACTGAGGGTTAGAATTTCAACATATGAATTTTGGGGTGACACAGTTCCATTAGTATCCATAGTATCCATTACGGATATCTGATATGTGCCAGACATCACGGTGAGTGCTAAATTGAGCAACCTTTGAGGTTGTTCGTGAAGTTGGGAACTGACCCTCACACACTCGCTTTCATTGACTGTCAAGCATCTATGGGGGTGGGGGTGGGGGAGGCAGAGCAGAAACTACTGACATAGTGTCCTTGGATAATTAATTAGCTGGAGGAGATTGTTTATGGATTCCATTTCCCCCTTGGCACTGTCAGCACCTCCAACCATCTTGGAATCTTTTGCTTTAGAGAAACAACAAAGCATCCCATGTTTTAAATGGCAGAAGCCCTCTGTTAGAATGTCTTGTCAGACGAGGCCACAAATACACTTACTCCCTCAGTATTTTCCTCATAATTCGTGCTCTGGCTGCAAATTGTTAATATTGTAAAAATCACCGAAGTAAGGAAAAACTGCCACAATTTACAGAGCAAACTAGGAG